GCAGATCTTTTATCAAAGGAAAATTACAATTTGAGCAGAACTTACTTTGTCTTTGATTTTCCTCCAGGGTAGATGACCCACCATGAACTCCACAAGCATATAAAATAATGACCAGAGGTCATCATGTCGACTCATTTCCTTTGAAAATGAAGGATGTGCATTTTAGTGAAATATGAACAAGTAATACGACCTGCTGTGTAAAGGACACCTGATCGGCATCTGCCATTGGCTTGAGAATGTGTGCAAAAAAAGAGAGGAGTTACCTTATTCTTGTGAGCATTAATTGAAGCATAACGGACGGTCCCTCTGAATCCTGCCACTTGTCGTGGCTTTGGACAATAAAGAGAATGTGCAGTCATAAGAAAAAAAATATATAGAAACACTTTTCAAATTTTTAACAATTTTCAAATATGAAAATTGAAATTTAAGTCAATGATGTACCCTTAAAAAACTTCACATCCACCTCTACCTCTTTTTGGTTCATTTATGAGAGTTTGAGTAGTATGATTCTGATTCATAAAATGATTATTTAGACCAGTTTTGTGAACCAGATCAACTGATTTATTGGAAGAAAAAAAAAGAAAAAAAATCATACTCGAAAGACTCACAAATCATATATCCCAACTTTTCTCATGAATTCTGACTTAAATTTGTTTTGTTTTTTTCTCGTCCAAATCTTTCTTATGACTTCAGAAGTATTAGTCATACAGGTTTGGAACAACATGAATGTGAAAAAATTAATTTTCATTTTGGGGTGAACTATCCCTTTAAGCAACACTAATATATGACAATAGCATCCTTAAAAAAGACAGAGTGATGTTTCATAAACATAAGCTTTAAAATATTTCTGTCATTACTCACTGGACGGACTTCTTGACATGAGTTTGTGAACTGGCGTGCCAACCCAAAATCAAGCATATAACAGGTTCGGCATGTACTGGAAAGTCGGCCCATTGCAAAGTTGGACTATTTGAAAAAGAAAAGGTTTCATGATTTAGTTTATATAATCTAAAAGACATGCCCTGTAAAAAAATAGTCAATATTAAAAGTGCTTTTATGCCCAGGACTATCCGTGAGAGAGCAGACTTACCGGTTTGATGTCTCTATGCAGAAAGCCCACAGAGTGGATGCTCTCAATGGCTTCCAAGATTTGTCGGCCCAGCCTGAGTGTGGTGGAGACACTGAATGTGCCATGGCTCATGTTGCGTCTAAGGTCTGCCAAGTTCCTTCCCTGCAGTACAATGGACAAACATCACTTCAGGTGACTGAAGTCAGGGTTGTTGAGTTACTATGACTTGTGTGAGATAACGTCCATCAATTCAGACACAAGAATAAATCATCTGACACCTTACCTGAAGCTCCATAACCACATAGTTGAAGCGGTCATTGCGTCCACAGCCAACAAAACGACAAACATGGTCTTTACCTACAAAATGGTTCAAAATAAAGAAATAGAAAATGTTATACAAATCCATTTGTTTGTTTTTTTAAATGCAATACTGTTTTTGCCCATAATAGAGTAGCACTGTAGCACACAGAGCTTCCTCATTTAGCGTCTTCATATTTGTTTAATATACTGTAGGTATTAAACGTCTGTCTTCATCTTTACCCTGAAGTCTTTTCAAAACTGCTACTTCCATCTTCAGGACCTGTTTGGGTTGCTGGGCAGACTCCACTTTCAGAGCCACATTGATCTGGTTCACCTGGTCCTGTACTTCATAGATCTCGCCAAAACCACCCCCACCAATCTTCTTCAACTAAACAGGAAAGGAAAACTTGGAATGAATGACAGAGATATAAAGAAAAAGAAAAAAAAAACACTATTGTTCAGAAAAGAGAAATGTGTGGTTGGTAAGATTTTTAATTGTTTTTGGAAACCTCTTATATTCATTGCTCACCAAGACTGCACTTATTTGATAAAAAAATATAGTAACATTGTGAAATATTATCATTTAATAATAAGGTTTTTAATAGATATCAAAATATAATTTATTCATATGATGGCAAAGCTGTATTTTCAGCATCATTGCTTCAGTCTTCAATGTCACTTTAATGTGATTTGCTGCTCAAGAAACATTTCTTATTATCAATGTTGAAAACAGTTGTACTGCTTAATATTTTTATGAAAAATGTGATCTATTTTGTTTTTCGGAATTCTTTTATGCATAGAACGTTCAAAAGAACAGCATTTATTTGAAACAAAAATGTCTTTACTGTCACTTTTGATCAATTTAATGCATCCTTGCTGAATAAAAAATATATTTTTTCCAAAAAAGGGAACAGACATACCTCAAACTTAGGCAGTGTACCGTACAACTCTTTTTTCATTCTATAATTGAGTAGACAGCTTTCAAACTTGTGTTGGAGAACAGATGTTACATGACAGTTCTATTCAGGCATGAAATAAAATGCCCTAGCAAAACAACAATTTTGTCATGAAATAAAATCCTGTGTCTTGTGACTAGGGCTATTTGTCAGCATGTTGTACAGTTTTCTGTGCTGATGTCAGCACTGCTCAACACACCTGCAGTGTATGGTTCGACTGGGCTCATAAGGAAAAAAAATCCCCTTGTCTGTGCAGAAGTTTACGTAAAGGAATCTGACAGCCATCAGAATAACTCTACCGAACTAACAGTGAGTATCTGAATAGTCTTAAGGCCTTGCTCCTTCAAAAGAACTCACCACTCTCCATCGCTCCCGGACCATGCTCCCGACAGCCAAGATATCAGTCTGCTCCGCTGTTCCACTCATCCTGATGCTCAAGAGTGGACTGAGCACACTCAGAGAAGCTCGACACCTCACATCAGTGAGCTCGGGTCCTCACTGAAAATCACAGTAAGATCAGAAAAACATCATGTCTTTGTTCAGTTGGAACTGCAGGGTTAAGGCAGAAATTATAGTCTCCAGAGAAATTTGCAGACATAAGACCTACGATGGCTGTAGACGACGTGACAAAAATAATGAAAAATGCATTTTATTGGCAGCATCTATTAGATAGGCCTTCTGTAAAGGCACGCTAAACTACATGAATCTGACCTGTCCTAAGGCTTTTAAACAGAAAACAAGTTCTGTAAAAGAAGCTGCCCTGGTTCTTTGACTGTCACTGCTAGGGTGCAGAGTAAAACTGATGGAGCTAAATAAGTCAAATCCTTGAGGAACAGGCTTACTGTAGGCCTGAAACAAGAATAAAATCGGCAAGACACCGGCAAGAAAATCGGCAAGAAGCTAAATGCATATTGGGAAACATTCTACAACGTATTTACCACCCTAAGACTTGTAGATAATGTGCATTATCTTGAATAATAATATATGTATTATTTTTGTATATTATGCATGTATACTATGCATAGTATTATACTGTCAATAATTTGCCTGCAGTGTTGGTGAAATAATATAGGCCTTAAACGTCACCCACTACTTTCAATTATTATTCCACTAGTCCTATGGTGTATGTATGGTAATAGTGATTTGATTTGTTAAACGATTTGTTTGATTTTGGCCAAATGCAAAAAAAAAAAAAAAAAAGAGTAAATTTTCCCCTCATTCTGAAACACATAAAAGTGCTTAAATATATAAACTATAAAATTAACAATTTTGTCATATGTTTATTCATATTGTCCTGTAAAAACAACAACAAAATGTTCATTGGTGTTTAAAAATGTAACATTATAATTGACACAATTCTATTAAAAGGCTTTTACTCAGGATTAAATCTGTATTTAACTTTCAATATTATAATGTTTCCCCCACCAGTCAGAACTGATGGATGAGTTTTTATGCAGTAACGTTACTGTTTTAATAAGCCGGATCACGCAGCTGGCCTGATACGTGTCTTTATTAGCTGGATGTGTAAAATTAATTGTGAGAATTTTTTAGCGTATGCTAACATCCACAAGCTACGTTGAAAACTGCCGCTGTCTTGTAGATGTTGGTTGAGTCTTTCTCTGTCCTTACCGCATCCAGTGATAATAGAAGGAGACGTAGGACAAGGCTAGCTAAAGCTAAAGCATCAGCCAGAGCCAAATCACTGTACAAAACAGCGCGATGAAACGGTACCGCGCTAGCATTAGCCAAACTGTACATCTGCGCCTCAACATGAAGCTATTATTGAACATACGGTTGCCAGGTTACACATGGGCAACACAATGTTGTGACAGCTGTAATCCCGTTAATACTGCGGACTAGCTCGCTAAGCACGCGCTCAATCAGGTAACGTTAACACTTACCCGGTGTGTACATTACCTCTGTATGCAGCAGCGGACCCAAATGTTTCCATAGACCTCAGAACAACTTCTTTTGTTCTACAGACCATGGTGATATGAAATGTTGGACATAATAATCCCATAACGTTTAAAAACACAAAATAACGGCTGAAGTTCACGTTATCTGCTTCACTTCTCACAGCAGTGCCCGCTCGATGACTGAGCGAGCGTACCGATGTGACGTCACATTTGGTCGATTGGGTTTGATCCATAGACTGGGGTTTGATCCAAATATTGCTTAGAACAATAACACACACAAACGAGTTAATATGAACTAACAGTTAAAAATACTTTCATTTTAATTAATGTTTATTTCAACATTTACTAATAATTTTTTTAAACCATAAGTTACATCTGTTAGTATTATTTAATGAATCTGCTAACACGAACTAACAATGAACAGTTGTATTTCATATTAACTAACATGATTAACAAATGTTAATAAATATTGTAACAACTGTATTGCTCATAATAAGTTAATTTATTAACTAATTAAACTTTATTTTAAAGCGTTACCGTTTCTGCAATCATTTGTATTGACATGTATTGTTTTAAACTTTGCATTGGGATATTGTGCTCACAGCCTCACACACTAAAATATGTTGTGCAATAGTTTACATGTATATATATATATATATATATACGTATATAAGTGATAAATCACAATCTTGGTTTCAAACAGCATTTTCATTGTAGCATTACCCATTTAGTAGATCAATATTATTTTTGAATGTTCCCAGAAACTGGCAATAGGTTTGTTACACATGCAGTAGATGTAATTGATCAAATGCCATTTACAAGTCACTGAGTGAAACAGTTGTCCTCTTCATGTTAATTTCACGTACCACAAACAGATCCATCCACAACGTAAAAAAAATGTTTCTTACAAGAATTTGAGAGGGAATTTATAAATTCATGCAGAGGGAACTGCAGTCAATCAAATGGAACACAGAAGATATCAATGCTTTATACCTTTATACATTTAGTAAAAATGACAGTTTTTGAGATTATGGTTACTTTTCTTTCTTTTTTTTTTAACAAAGAAACTAAACTACCATGGACTAAAAGAAGATTTTCATGTCAGTACATAATACCCGTTTCACAGATAATTAATAACATTCCTCAAATAAAATGATTAGAGAAATAATGTGCTCCCATCAACAGCACATCATGTAACAAAAAAAAATGTTTTAAAACCTATTAAACACAGAATTAAAAACATTAAAAATATTACAGTATTCTAAAGGTTCTTTTGGCATTAAAATCGTGTAAAAAATGATTTGTTTCCATCCCTTTCATAAAGTAATAGTCTGATACAAAACCATTTTAAAAATCTGAGCATTACTATCCCTTTTTCATTCTTTTTTTTTAGTTGACAAATTCTCACAATGCCCAGTGGCGTTAAGCAATAAGCAGTGTTGGTTCCCAAATATTGATTCAGACTTCTAAAACAATACTAAAATGTGATTCTCTCTTAAAATGGAAACAACTGTTAAAACTAAGAAAATTCTTTGTGGACAGCATTTTGTTCAGCGTCCAAAATTAGCTCTCCTGGGTAGCTTTTCCTCCACCAAGCAGTCTCTCTCTTTCAGGAGTGTCTTCCTCCTCTGCTCTCTGCTCTCTGCGGCTGCAGGGCAGTTTGTCCATCAAGGGTTTGTGGAGTCCATTGTACAGCGCTGTACCCACGAGTAGGATGATGAAGCCAAGAATCTGTAGGCCCTGAAATTTCTCCCAACCCAGCGCCAGACTCACCGCCCAGATGACTAGAGTACGCAGACTGTCCAGAACCATGCGAGTGGTGGCACTTATCTCTTTGGTGACGCTGATGCCAGCGAAGTTAAAGAATGCGATGCTCACAGTGTTCCCCAGCAGTGCCAGGATAATGAGAGGTTTGTGGCCAATCTGACAGAAGGCGTCCAGGGCGTCTTCAAGGACCTGCCGTGGGTTATCTGCAAAACTGCCCACATGGATGTAGAACATCGGAATCAGGAGGAGAGAGAGGATGACAAATCCAAAAAAACCTGAGAAATACATAGAGAGAAGACAATTAAGACACTTGTAAAGAGGTAAGTCTTGCTTAACTGATAACTTTGTTTTAAATAAACATTAAAAGTGCATCTGTTTGTCAGTAGATGTTCATTAGTAACAAAGGCATATTTGCTTGTATTTTTCCTGATTTCAACGGAAAGTGGAGGACTGAAAGTCAAATAACCTCAGTTATTAGTTAATCACAGACTTTTAGGGGCACTTTAAGATGAAAGACAGGGGTCTCAAGCTCCCCTAAATAGGATCCAGCAACACATATGCAATGCAAACATTTGCTTTTATGATCAACATAGCTTTTTTTTATCTTTACTACCTTTTATCGCTGATGTAATCATTCTTAACACTTAGCTTTTTTCAGCAAGGACAAGTTGATTTGATCATATGACAGTAAAAACTTTTACATTTTTATAAAAAAGTGTTATTTTAAACATTCTACTTATCAAAAAAAATCCTTCTATAACTATTTTCAACATGGATAACAATTTTTTCGTGAGCACTTCATTAGCATATTACAACGATTTCTGAAGGATCATGTGAGGCTGAAGAGACATGATCGTAACTTATAGAACAATTATTTTTAAATTGTAATAAAATATCACAATATTACTGTATTTTTTTATTTCTTTCTATAATTTTTTTCTTTTTAAATCTTCCTGAACCCAAACCTTTGAACTGTATTGGATGAAGTGAGACTATAATCGTTATAACAACATTAGTACTAACTAGCAACAAAATACCAATGCTCAAACTAGTCATTAGCTATATATGGGAATTGATTAAAAATGAATAATCTTTACCTTCAGTCCCAACAGCCTTCAGTGGATGCACATTGTGCTTGTAAACAAACTTCTCCTCCAAGACCATCTGGACTGAAACAATAATCTGTGCCATGATGATCAAAAGGTCCCCTATAAAACAAAACCAATGGATAATCAGTGATACAATTCAATCAGCTAAAGATGCAAGATACAGTCAGGTAAAAGGAAAATATCCTGATAAACAGCTCATGAGAGGATTTTTCAACTTGTAGACAAAGACAAAGTACATCATTCTGTATGATTAAAAGCATTTGGCAGAACTAGAATTACCTGTGATAACTTCACTGAGCTTATGGGAGTCATTGCCATGGCCGTTTAGAAAGTCAGCAAGTCCAACCACCACCAGACCAAGGATGGTGATTAGGATCCCAATCCACTGGCTGGGCAGCAGACGCCGTCCTAAGAAAGCTACAGACAGCAGTCCGGTGAAGATGATCACAGCTCCTCGCAGCATCTGGAAACTGGAGGCGCTGGTCATGTTCAGTGCTAGAGATATGAAGAAAGAGGAAGGAAATCTTCATGGAACAAACTGAATGGATGCTTTTAGATAATATAAATATAAACTTACTTATATAGTTTTAAAGTAGATCTCTGCACATTGTCCAACTCAAATTGAAGTAAAAAGACTATTGACACTCACCGATATACATGATGGATGTTCCCAACATGTCACAAAGGGCAGGGGGGAGGAAAAGCAGGGGGTTGAAACTCTGGCCTGGTTCCATCGTGGGCTCGGGTTTGCGCCGATCATAACAAAGGAGAATGTGGAACACCACCAGGCAGGACAGCTCTCCCAAAAACATTCCTACAGCCTGGAAGGGTGAGAGGAGAAGAGGTGCAATGAAGGAAATAGTCATGTATTATTAGGGTGCATGCAGGAAAAGAGACAGAGAAGGGGAAAGTTCTGTGAATAAAAGGAAATAGAGTCAAAACCAGTTCTTCTCACACTGTTAAAACATAAGATAATACTTCAGTTCTCTGCTGATCTACTGAAAAAACGTACTCTAAGGGGAAGTTTGATGTGAATAGTGTGTCGTGTATCTTGATGAGGATAATTGAATTTCGTTACCTGTACAAAAGGGTGGGAGAAGTTATGATCTTGTGTACCATAACATCCAGGTGCAGAGAACATATCAGCCCATCTAGAAGATGAACAGATTCATCTCATTAAAGGTGATGATGAGTGTCATTTTTCCATATTAAAATTCCTTAACTTGATATGCAGTATAATTATAAATAAGGCACTTATGGCAAACATTAGCTCAACAATGGCTAAGATTTTGGATTTGTTTGTCCAAACGATGGTGGAAATGCAACTTGTTAAGGAAACCTGTTATATTTTTTAATAATAATAAACATTTTTTATACATGGAATGCAGCTCAAAGTGCTTCACAAGCAGAAAAACAAATATCAGCAATACAATTTCACACAATATAAAATTAAAAATACTAAAAACCAACTATAAAAGATTCACAAGGTAAAATAAAGACATAAACCAAACTTTCACAATTTCAAACAATATCAATATACCAATAAGCAACTTTAAAAAAAATTGTCTTCAGCTGCCTTTTAAAAATATAAATGCTAGAAGCCTCTTTCAATTAATTTGGCATAATGTTATAATTATGATTATTAGTAATAATGAGCATTTCCATACCTGACACAACTATATTTCACCTGCCATTCATTGTAAGTTTAATAAGTAACTATGCACATGGTACACTGTCACTTTTACAACCATGAAATGACAATTCATGACCTCACGACAAAGTAAAGAAGACTATATTTAACAATTTGGTTAAACTGATATAGCAAGACTATTTTAGAAACTGTAAAACCCAGATGCATCAACACCATCAGTGTCAGTTTTTCAGCAGAAATGGAGCGAAACTGTGGTATCAAATGTTGTCTGCCTCGAAACATCAAGCATCTGTTTAAGACACAAAGCTGTATCAAGTTACTTAGCAGTATTTGTGGCAGACAGCTTCTTTCTTGACGAGATGGACAACTTAAATCCGACTGGAAGTTATTTAATGCTGCGGTTGCACTATTGACTAATAGTCACAAGTGTTTTGGAGGCAGAATTGCTGATTTTGCAGCATCAACATGTCACGAAACAACGGATCATTACTGCACGCGAGTCATGTAATCATCTTGTTACAAAAAGTGCAATTTTCAACTTTATAGGTGAATGTTGAATTCATACAACGTTACTAAAAAGCTCAATCAAAATGGTTCATCTTTCTTTAATCTTGTTTGTGTTAACATTCATTTAAAAAATAATTTAGACATAACAATTACATGTATTCGCAAACAACGAGGACACGATGTCATCATTGTCTGCTCTTTTAATAGAGTAAAAAATGTGGGGCAACTAATAAAAGTAAGCAGAAATAACATGTAAACAATCACCATTTAGCGCGTGCGTACTACTTACTTTGCGGATAGTGTGTTGATAGAACCCGTGGTGAGCATCAGACCCGCGAGAAAGAGCTGATATTTTGTCCAAGCCATGGTGAGTGTGGGACTGAGTGAGTGACCGCGAACATCAGACACCCAAGACACACTGTCTTGAGATATGTCTCTCTTGCTGGTGATGACTAGCTGTTTGAACAGGTCACTGTATGCAAAATGTAAATCACATGATGATGGCGATCATGTGACACACCAGCTGACGTTTATTTCCGCAGACGAGTGCGCAGATCTTGCAACATTTACCTGACATTTGCGAATGAGAATCGTTACGTTCGTTTCAAAGTGATATTCACTCCAGTCCTGCTAGTATAGCTAAATTAGCTAAATTCTGTATTCATATGTGTTTTTAAATTCAGAGGTTCATACCTAAAAAAAACCCCAATTATTATGGTAAGATAAGAAAACTAAAACGTTTTTCTATTTGTAAAGATTTCCATATTTTATTGTCATTTTTGTAGTTTCATATAAAAAAAAAGTATTTTATGTTTATTGGATGTGTACTCAGCCCTCCTCCCCCAATACAAAATAATAATTAAATTACATCAAAAAAGGTGTGTTTTACAGTAAAAAAGAGTACACATCTTTTGTTTTAATATGACATATGAATCAAATATAAGGAGCAACAATCATTTGTGAATAATAATGATGACAAACTACAGTGTGTGAGACTAATACATGACTGCTGTTCCCTGGCCTACAAAATAATAATAATTAACAAATTAATATTTTACTCAAGCGTATTGGATTAGTAGCTTTTGAACTAGAAAACTTTAACTCAAGAGATTATTTTATTTGATGAAAACGTTTCTTTGTTTCTCAAATGATGGCGATTTCGGAGACTCGATTCCTTTTAAACCGTTGATCAAAAATGTTATTTATAAATATATATTATTCGTTTGTTCAGATTCATGTATGCCAGTAGATGGCGACACCGCCGACACGTATTTGTTGCTAAGAGTAAGAGTCGTTGAATCTTCCACTCTTGATTCGTAAAAAAGTTTTTATTTTTTTGTTAGTCTTGTTCAGGCTGTCAGCAGATTTTTGTTACTCTCATTTGCTCGGAGTCACTCTAGACAGTGATGAAAGTTGTATTGTCTAGGAGGCCCAACAAATGATATCGAGCCTAATTATTTAGTCTATCTAGCTCACCAGTCATGCTTCACTGGAGACTTCAGTGAAAGAAAAGTCAGTGCATGGACGTGAACCAAATTCATTTAAAGAATTTTCAAAAACACTGATCTGTTGATTGAGTAAACACTTTATTCAACATAAATATGGCAACATAGGCCTACTACTTTTATGCTATTAGTACTTTTTATGCTATAGTAGTTTTTGCTAAAAAGAAATTGAGTTACTGTTCAATTAGAAACTCTATCTGTTTATTATTAGAATTCTTATTTATTAGTACTTATTCCAATAGTGACTAGTATTTAATTATAATTTACAAGTTATAAACAGAACTAGAATTTAAAAAAAAAAGATAGAACTATGGCTTCTCGTTGCTTTGGGTTTGTTAAATCCTTACATTTTTGTGGTAGCAAAGTTACAATTACTGTTTAAGGCTGTTTAAAATTATATACAGCACTGAGATTTTTTCTCTTTTCTTTTTAACATAAATGCCGGTACTTTCAACACAACCTGTTGTATATCTCGTTGTCAGTAAAAGTTAAAGAGATATGGAAGTATAAGTGTTAATCTCAGTAATAAAATATGACATTCCATTCCAGCAGTGTGCGAGAACTTCCTTCCGTCCAATCACAGTGTGCGCTTTTGCGCCTTGTGTCGCCTCGCCTTTAATCCGAAACACGCTGATTGGTTGCGTGGGTGCGAACTGTTTTGTTGATAAATAATTTTGATGGATTCATTATTGTAAGAGGATCCGACCCCGAACACTACGCATCCTGCTAACAGTAGGCTATTGGTAAAATTGCGCTTATACGGCAGAAAGAATGTAAACAGGAAAACAGGTTTGGTGACTATCGAGGTGTTCAAACGTGTTCGGATACAAAAAGTTGTTAAATTTGGCAGCCTACTAGTTAGAAAGGCCTCTCGATGCAATGACACGGTATTTTAGCGTATCATCAAATGTGCGCACTTACGTCTAGGCGTTTACGACAGACTGCATTGTAGTATGTGTTTATGGCCAAGCACGCACGCTGTTGACTTTGCCCAGGGCTTGAACTGTTTTTGTAAGGCGCTGTTATCCGAACTTCAAAACTAAGGAAGGAAGGAGGACGTCAATGCCATGTTGCAACAGTGTAAGTACGCGACAGTTCTAATCTGCTTTCATATTTCGTTCAGCAAGTCAATAATCACCAAGGAGCAAAATGCACAAATACTGAAACTTATTTGCAGTCTTACAGAGAAGGTATGTAGGACAGTGTGCTTTGCTGTGCAACATTACTTATACTTATATTTTGTTATAACAAATGTTTTCACCGAGATTTCTGGGTTGGGAGAGGTCATCAATGGTTTGAAAAGTAGTTCTGCTTGTTCTCTCTCTCCTGTATACTCTCCATATCTCTCTCTCTCTCCCTTTCCCTCTTCACTTCCTGTAATTCTTGTTGTCTTGCATTGCAATTTTAATGCCCCTCCCTCCTGTGCATGTCTGCTGTTGCCTTCTGCATTTGTGTTTGTCAGGTTTCCTGGTTTTTGACCAATATGTTCCTTCTCTATGCTCAAGTCTTGCCAAATAGCCATTAATTAATGGTATGCATACGGAATTTGCAGATTTGGTGTCCTGTCAATCGTGAGTATGTTATGGTTAGTTTGGTAATTGGTGATCTGAAGTTTCAGTTTGCTTGACAAATCATTCTATTTAATGTTTCTGTGGAGATTTGATGTTTATTCGGGGGCCAACACTGGCATTTGGTTCAACTTTTTTGTATTTTATAATAAGATATTTATCTTCATTATGATATAAGGATTTGTTTCACCCTGACATTTAACACACTGTATGTCCCTTTAAAATATATTTAAATGAATTTTAATTTAAGAAAAACTAAAATGATCTCTTATTATTTAGTTTATCTGTCCCCTTGATGATGGGAGAAAACATTTCAATGATTTTGCATTTGTTTGCAAAAGGTTTGCGTATCCCTGAGAAACTTGAGTGATCCCAACAAAGTGTTGCATTTGCTCACACTCACTTAGATCATAGAAGAGGTGTGTGCAAGTAATTTTTTGTATGAATAGCATTTTAATGTATATATATTTTTTAATAATGTAATGAATCTGGACAAAATTAAATGAGTGTCATGGCATTGGCCTATTTGACTTTTTCCCCCTTTTATTTTGTGTAGAATGCATACGACATTATACTCCTATTGTGACTGATTTCCAAACCTATCTATTTGTCTTTCTCTCCTTTTTAGAACGTTTCCCTTGACTGAGGAATGACTGAGGTTTTAAATATTTACACCACCTTTATACTGCAGTTTAGAAGCAAGTGGGGAGGTGAGGCTCCTAGACCCCACACAATCCTCCATGCACTCTGCTCTGTAAAACATTATTATTATTTAACTCCAGCCTTGTTTAAACCTAATTAGGGTTATTTAAAACTGAAGTACTGAATACCCTGGGTTTTTGCTTGTCTTCTAGTTTTACACAACTGCCATGAGTCTTTCTCCACACCAGAGAGGAACCATAAACAGCATTAGCAAGCAGAATGTTGAAGCCATTGGTGAAACAATGCAGCATTCAGGAGATCTCTTCTACAACGTGGGAGCCCCTTCCTTGGAGCAAACTCACAGCAGTCCAGAGGGTTTGGTGGATTCTAGCCCCGAAGTCCAGGGCGCTTTCAAATCTGATAAAGGATATCCGGTCCGAGGGCATTTTCAGCAGTCGGGACCAGTGAAGTGGGTGCATCAGGACCCAGTGCAGACCTCGACTTGGTTTCAGGGCCTCCCGAACATGAAGTGGCCACAGAACTTTGGCCCTTCTCTTAGTGCTATAGATGACCCAAGGGCCTTTCACAAAAGTCATGAGATGGAGGCTATGAAGTTGGAAAAGCTTTCACCAGGTTCCTCACAGTCCTACACAGACACGTCTCACGTTCCTGGGGCGGATTGGGACCATCACACGATGGCAGTCATGCATCATGCTCAATTCCAGGCTCTCCAACAAGGTCACATGCCTGCAGACCTCCAATATCAGCCTCAGGGCATGCATCACGATATGACTGATTCCACTCTGCAACCCTTCCAGTTGGCATTTGGACCTACCAAGCAGCCGCAGGCAACTGGTTTCCAACAAGTCTTCCAAGGCAATAATGCATCTTTAAATATGAATTTCAACGAGAAGCCGAAATCACAACAGCAACTCTTGCAGTTGCAACAGCAACAGATGCATCGTCAACACCAGATGCAACAGTTGCAGCAAATGCGTCAGTTGCAGCAGCAGCAGCAGAATCAAATCCAGCAGCAGCAAAGGCTGCATCAGATGCAACAGCAGTACCACCAGAAGAAAAGGCAGGAACAGCTACAACAAATTCAGCAGCAGCAACTGCAGCAGCATGGACCAGGTTTTCAACACCTAGAGTCTATAGAAAAGCAGCGAGTCAAACAAGAGATTGAGTCACAGGATCTTCCCAGTGCTCAGGTGAAAATCGAATCGAGTCAGACCCAGGTCACTGTCCCTCAACCACAACATCTTGTTCCTCAGGAATCAAATTACCAGGAATCTGGCGCTGCAGAGCCCACTCCAGACCTCCAAGATACCCAAACCAAACGACAGGTCCTCCCTCGCCGCTCTCGGCGACTCTCTAAAGATGGCGTCTCTCCTCAAGGCGACCAGCCCTCCAAGGACAAGGTTTCTTCTCAGAATGGAGGAGTTGGTGGAGTCCAAGGACCCACAGTGGGGGTCATTCAAAGCACTCAGAGACGGCGGAGGGCCTCTAAGGAGATCAACCTTGAGACTCTTGCTCAAAAGGCTTCAGAGATGGAATTTCTGCCAGCCAAGGTGACCCCAATTCATTTGGAAATCCATTTGAAGCCTAATTTTACAACAGTGGAATAGTAGAAATATCTTCTAATATTAAATGGAACATACTGGGCTGTATATGTCTTTTAATACATTCACGAGTGCCAATTGAGTCGCCAGGACAAAAATATATGTCCTTAAATACATTCATGAGTGCCACTAGAGTCACCAAACGAAATTCCTAATATATTAATTGT